TAGCCACTAAAAAGAAAAGAAAAAAAAACACATAAATCAAGTTGAAAACGCTGAGTTAGTTCAAAAAGAGTAACTGGAAATTATCAATTCTAAAACTGTGCTTTTTATTAAAAACTACCAAATTACTGAGCCTTATCAAGAACTTCTATGAGATACACAAATAATGTCCTGTATCCTCAGAAGGAGTGGCTAACAAACAGCTTAATCTAACAGATGGCTTTATTATCAGCAAAAGTCACAGAATGATTATAACTGGAAGGAAGCTGAGAGACCTATGAAATCTTCCAAGTTCAGTGATGCTCTGCTCTCAGAGAAACCACAATTGAAATGAAGAGGCAAGACAAAGCCACATGAAATATTAGCCAAAATCCTTCTGTTTCTTATCAGAGCACTGAATGAATTACAGGCAGGCATACAGGATTTCAAACCAAAGGGTGATTATGTGGGCTGGATCATTCCAGAAGACTTCATGTCTCCCATATAGTGGGAAGCTATGTTTCCCCACATAGTGTCTTCCCATATAGTGGGAAGCTATAAATACCATGATTTCCTGTTAAGCCTGAAGAAATCCTGAATGAAACATGTCCTTCATACGTGGAGAAAGTATTTTAAAACTTCAAACTTAAGTTTGCTGATTCAGTTGGGTAGAATATTAATTCAGAGCTTATAACCCTTAAATAGTTCAAAGAAGAGGTTTCTGTGAAAAAGATAAGTAGGCCCTGCTTGCTGAACAAATATCAAAGTCTTAACCTAACTCATAAAATCATGAGAACAGCGAAGAGCTGAGGCCAGATTTTGGGGGGAAGTGGGAAGCTAGGCTTGTTTGTCAAAAATAATTTTATTGGGACCAAAGGAATCTACCTGGATACTAAAAATAGAAAACAGGCCCCAGCCCCTAGAAATCTGAGTCTAAGATTTGGAGTTTTCCACCTGCCAGAATTTGTTAGCAATTCTTCTACCATTGGACCCTGCTCTGTAGATTAATATCCCCTGGCCAACATTTCTGTTTCCCCACATGAGGGATACTACAGATTTCAGCAGCAGATCACTGATTGCACCTAAGAAATGCAAAGCAATAACAATCAGTGTCTGGGGAGAGTGGTAATCAAGGCAGCTCCAAAGACACGTTTGTTGAAGTTTTGGAAATTCACAGCCAGAGTGAGTTTCCATAACAGTGTTTAAAATTCCCAGGATAAATTCTCTGATTACTCTAGGCTTATTCCTTTTTTTTTTTTTTAAGTGCAAAATGGTGGTTTTATTAAAGCTTGCAGATAGGACCCTTGGCAGAAAAAGCTGCTTTCCCCAGATTGTGAGAAAGAACTGATTAAATTCTTTGGTGGGTGTGGAGGAGTAAAGATAAGGGGAGTTTCTAGGCTTATTCCTAGAGCAACCAAATATATCTTGGGGTGAAGGTAGGGGGAGTGATGCCATACAGCACAATAGGGCCACTGAGGGCCCATCTTATATATTGGGCCGTCCCTGGATGAGGAAGAATTGTTGACGTCAAGACAGTGATTTGAGTTGACCACTGTGTCTGAGACTTTGTTCACTCATTCATTCACTTACTCATCCACTCATGCATTCATTCATTCATTCTTAGAGATACCATATCAAAGCAATGTGGTTCAGAATGTAAGCTCTGGAACCAAGTGCATAGGATCAATTGCTAGCTCTATCAGTTACTAACATTACACTTTCTTCACCTGTCAAAAGTAGTCAGTTATCGTACCTAACTCACAGGAATACAATGAGAAGTAAAAGACTGAATTCACATAATGAGCCTAGAATAGTGCCTGGCCCTAATAAGCACTTTATACATTTTAGCTATTATTATTCATTCAAAAACTAATGAGCACTAATTATGTGCCAAGCACTGTATAAGGGCCCCATGGTCCCTTAGCACAAACCTATTCTTCTACTTATGTTCCAATCCTAGTCATTAACTAGGCATGTAGGAGTCATCCTAAACTCCTTCCTCTCCCTCACTGCCCACCCCTAAAGATGTGGTCAAGTTCTTCTCATTAGACATGTCAGCTCCTTCCCTCTTTTCCAATCCTCACTGTCACTGCCTGACTAAAACCTTCTCCAATTTCTTTTCTCAAATATTATAGTAATCTCCTCTGTGTCTCCTGAAGGCTAGTATTGTACTCATCCAATCTATTCTCCACTTTGATTCTAAATTGTCTTTCCAAAAACACATATCTAACTCATCTGCTGAAGTCTTCTATAGCATGAAGTCACAGGTCCAACATGGCACATGGGACTTGGTGATGTGACCCAATCTGTCTCTCCAGCCCTCACCCTGTGCCCATACTAACCAGGCTGACAGTACAGTGCTGATCTTTCTGCTGAGTCAACTATCCCTCCATCTGCCTGGCAGTTCCCCTCTTACATTGAGGGTCATTATTTAATCAATAAATACTTCCTAATACCTGCCATGATGTAATGCCTGTATCAAGGTCAGGGAGTACAATGATGAAGAACATATTTGATCCTTTCTTTCTCATAGTAACTTTGAGGCCCTCGAGGGAGAAGTGAAATATGAAAACTGAGGAAGAGTTGTCTCAGACTTGGCATTCTTTCCCCCACTAGTTGGAATACTAGTGGCATACCTTATGGAATTGTAGAAATTAAATTTATTTTGGCATCCAGTCCAAAAGTACCTCACCAGACTTTAATCTCAACTGTAAACTGTGACACAGTAGATTTAGTCATCACTAAATGACTTGTACATTTGACTTGTACAGCTGTGATGTGTTAGGGAAGATTGATTTGAACTCTAAAAAACAATAACCAGAAAGTTGTTTCAATATGGTATTATAAACTTATAGGCCATTAACTAGCCTCTCTGTTTTTATTTATTTTTTTTAAAGAGTGTATTTATTTATTTGACAGACAGAGATCACAAGTAGGCAGAGAGGCAGGTAGAGAGAGAGGAAGGGAAGCGGGCTCCCCGCTGAGCAGAGAGCTGGATGCGGGGCTTGATCCTAGGGTCCTGGGATCATGACCTGAGCCAAAGGCAGAGGCTTTAACCCACTGAGCCACCCAGGCACCCCGCCTCTCTGTTTTTAAAAGGTAAGTAACTCTGAGTGTCTGCCATTGTCTGGGGGTAATAAGAAGCTGGTTTTTTTTTTTTTTAACATAGTTATTAAATAATATGAAATATGGTTAATTTAAACACTTTAAGAATCATGCCTTTCTAATTAATGCATTGCTAAATCACTCGTTAAATGAAATGTTTACTGAATAAGCACAGCTTATTCATTATGCTGACACAGTTCATTCAAATCTGCAGAAACATATTGGGACGGAAGCTCTAGCATGGACACAGATTTGTCAGAGCGCCTGTCTCCTTCATGGGATTTTCCAACCTTCCACACTAATGTTTATGGCCCTTTTCAGCAACATCGTATCTTATTCATGACTATAACCAGAGCTCTGTGAAAAGTCTGGCACAGAGAAGGTGCTTGATAACTGTTTGCTGGGCTGACCTCAGCTCAACTCAGCTCCAACAGAGATGCTGTCCCCTTCTCTACTGTGTCTTAGGACAGTGTACAGTCCTTTCTGAAGAGCCACTATCCAGCTGCATTGGAACCTATCAGCTTAAATATTTTAATATCTTCACTTCCAACAGGTATCCACCATCTTCAAATATTTTCATGTGGCACTAATTTCCTAAAGACAAACTGTCCAAAATATTTGAATTCAGAGAGTGAAATTCAATCCCTATGTAAAATGATGTTTTTCTACCATACCATACCATGCCATACCAGTGAAAGTAATAACATATGGTTTTTACTTAATTTTCTCTTGGGCCTCTGCAGCAAAGCACATGATTTGAGTATTTATCTTACATCAGCCTAGTGACCCTAGCTGGTAGGCGGTACCATCAGTCGCTTTAGGAAACTGAAAACTTGAACTGTTACTTCCTATACCACCAGTCCCAGTTTAGCAGCGCAAGAACTTTACATCTTAGTCTTACTTTACACATACCCAGAGCAAACCTCACTTTTCAAAAGTTCATTAACAAAGCCTCACAATTAAATAAGCAGCGCTGTGAGTCATTTTTGGATACCCCTGTGGAAATAACAACTCCTCCCTTTGCTGAGAAACGCCTTCAACAAGTGCATGAGAACCACAGGAAGTAATACAGATCGCAGCTATTGTCAGAGAAGTCTAGAATTCCCTCAGGACTGTGTGGTTCTTGAAGTTACCCTGCCACTATTTCTTGTCTTCATTCTTCTAAAAAAAATAAAGTCTTTTTATGTGGGCTTGGAAGGAACTATTTCAAGGCAATATCAATTTTTCCGTATTTTCTGCTCCTGATTCCCATTGTTAAGTTCAAGTTCAGAAGTACCCATTCCAGTGTTTTTGAGAAAGTGCAACCTAAAATTGGGAGTGACCAGCACCTGGGTGGCTCAGTTGGTTAAGCGGCAGGCTCTTGATTTCTGCTCAAGTCATGATCTCAGTGTCCTGAGATCATGCCCTGAGTCGGGCTCTGCGCTGGGCGTGGATCCTGCTTGAGAGTCTCAGTCTCTCTCTCTCTCTCTCCCGCCCCCCCCCCTCACTCTCTCATAAGTAAATGAAGGAAGGGAGGGAAAGAACAGGTGATCATAGCGAAGTAATGTCCCTGGTAATTCAGAAGACCTTCAGCCTCTCGACTTAAAACTAAAGTAGTCTGAGGTGCACACTTAGTAAGGAAAGCCTATCAACAGGTACCTGAAATAATTTGTAAGAAGCCCTAAATGCGCGGTCCCTTGCCTATTGGGAGGGGCGGAAAGGCACTCCGCTGTACAGGAGAAACCCAGAGCCGAGTTCCCTAAGGCGCGAGGCGGCGGCATGAGCCCTCGGGACAGACCCGAAATCAACCTAAAGCCACCCCTCCAGGCCCCAGCCAGCGAGGCCAGCCGGCGCCCCCCGCGGCTCTCAGCCTAGCGGGGCGCATCCTCGCTCCTGGAGAGTTAAGGAGAGAAAATCAGGTACAAAGGCGGAAAACGAACCAGGAACAGGACGGAGCGTGCGAACCAAGAAGGGCGCGGGTCCCACGCTGGGAGTCGTGAGACGGAAGGAAACCTGTTGCCAGACGCCTGGCGGCGAGGCTCCCGGCGCCTCCCGCTGCCGGGACTGGGCTGCTGCTCAGTCGCCCGAGCTCCGCGCCGCCGCCGCCGCATCTGGACGCCACCCGCCCAGCCCCTGGTGTCGGCAGCTCACAGCTGGGGGAGCAGGCCCCGCCCCGGGACGACTGCGCCGGCCGCCCGCGCGCCCCACCCCGCCCCGCCCGGAGTCCGGGCGTCCGGAGAGCAGGCGGTCTGGCCCGGCCCGCTCCGGCGGCCTCCGCTGTCCTGGGAGCCCACGGGCGCTCTCCGCGGGCTGCTCGAGGCACCTCACCGGCTCCCTCATCTCCGCGCGGGGAGGGGGCCCGAAGGCCCCGGACTTTCCCCGGGAATCCCCCCGGCGCTGGTGACGTTTGCCGGCCGCTGCGTTGGGCGCGGCGCGGACGCGCGGGGCAGGTTCTGGGTGTGGGTGTGACTGCGAGAGGCTGGGGCTGGAGTGCACCTGAGGGACCCGCCAAGCGGCGGGCAGGGAGGCTGAGCACCGTCTTGCCAGAGCCTCCTCGGACTCACCCCTTTCAAGTAGCCCTGAGACCCAGCCGGGTTCATTCATTCAGTCAGAACCGACGGAGAGTCCGCTCTAGGACTGGGGATGCTTTCCCGGTTAAAAGTAGCGCCGAGACCCTGTCCTGTCCTCGACGACCTGGCATTCCAGTGCGGAAAGATAAACGGATAAAGGTTGTATTATGTGAAATGGTGGTGTCTCGAAAAACAAGACTGAGGCTCAAAAGTTAGGAAATACTAAAAAAATAAAAAAAAAAAAAGAACAACAAAAACAAAACAAAAAAAACACACAAAAAACCAACCAACAAACTAAAACAACTCTCATTGATGGGGAGTTTCAGAGAAAGGCAGAAGCCAACTGAGAGAGTTCCCAATGGCTAAAGCTAGAACAATTTGAGAAAATTAACAAATAAAGTGGTATCAGACTGCAAGCCAAAGTAAAAAGAAAATCCGTGAGTTTCTAATGATATAAGTAGTTGAATGAATAAATAAATGGTGGAGAGGTGATAAATCTCTCCTGCAGAAGAATTTGTAAAAATTTATGTGAACATAACTTCTCACTCCTTAAGTATGGGGTGATCAAAGTGACTAATCCCAAAATGTAAGGTACGGAAGGGGGGAAAAAGAGTAACTTCATAGTGGAGACACCTAAAAAACAGGGCCTCAGCCAAATGATCAAGGTCAACAGTAACAGTCATAAATATATCATTGTTAGTATAAGCACTTGATATGTGATGAAAATGTCACTTTACCTCTGTGGCCTTCCTCCCCAGGCCCATAACCCCAGTTTATCATAAGAAAAACATCAAATTCCAACAGAGGAACATCCTGCAAAATACCCCACCAATATTTCTCTAAGCTGTCCATGTCATCAAAAACAAGGAAAGTTTGAAAAACGGCCACAGCCTAGAGGAGGCTAAGGAGACATTACACCTAAATGTGTGTAGTATCCTGAATGGGATCCTACAACAGAAAAAGGCCATTGGGTAAAAACTAAGGAGAGGTCACCTAAGTGGTTCTGTCCATTAAGAGTCTGCTTCCTGATTTCAGTTCAGGTCATGATCTCAGGGTTGTGAGATGGAACCTTAGAGGGTGCTCCCTTCAGCAGGAAATCTGATTGAGATTCTCCATCCACCCCCCCCCACCCCGCCAAGTTCCTGCTCTTGATCTCTCCCTCTCTCAAATAAATAAATTAATCTTTTTAAAAAACTAATAAACTCTGAATAAAGTATGGACTTTCATTAGCAGTACAGTATCAAGATTGGTTCATTAGTTGTGATGATATGCCATACTAATTGTAAGATTATAATAGTAGAGGAAAATGGGAACAAGGTTTTGAAGAACCCTCTATACTATCCTTGCAGTTTTTCTGTAAATCTAAAATTGTTCCAAAACATGAGATTAATTTTAAAAGTAAAACAAAATAAGAGAGATGAGGGGTGTTATAATAAACTAAAGACAAAACAAAAAAAAACGGGTTTATTCCAAAGGCCTCTAAGATAAAACAGTGTGAGGGAGGAAACAGTGTGGCTATTTGAGTTATGACTATTTCAACCAGAGAGATCTGCAGATGTAAAGGCCCTGAGGCAGGAGGATGCTTAGCTTCTAGGAGTAGGGTCAATGTGGGTGGAACAGAATGATTGGGAGAAAGACAATGGGTGGTGGAGCTAGGGGTGGAGAACAGAGTATGTAGGGCCTTGGTGGTCATGATAGTTTTAATACTTTACCTTGATTGAGAAAGGAAAACATCAAAGAATTTTTAGTAGAAGGGTAACCTGATATGGCTTTTTTTTTTTTTTTTTAACTGTTGTGTTGACGAATTAGAGAAGAGGGTGGAAGAAGCCCAATTTTACAAATTGTTCTGCAGGGGAGATTTATATCCTCTACACCATTATAGATTCAATCTATAGAATGAGTAAAGCAAATTGCCCTCCCTAGTATGGGTGGGCCTCATCCACTCTGTTGAAGGCCTGAATAGAACAATAGGCTGGGGAAGAAAAAATTTGTCCTCTTTGGGCCTGTTTTTGAGCTGGGACATCAGTTTTTTCCTGCCTTCTGACTTGCCCTCAAACTGGAAGTGACACCATTTACTCTCCTGCTTCTCAGGCATTTGGACTCAGACAGGAATTATACCACAGACTTTCCTGGGTCTCCATCTTGCCGACTACAGATCTTGGAAGTTCTCAGCCTCCATAATATATATGTTTCATTCATATATACATGGTTCTGTTTCTCTGACAACCCTCACTGATTCAAACCCCCAGCAGTACAGCTGGTAAGAAGTGGGCAGGTTCTGGATATATTTCCAAGGAGATGCTGACAAGACTGATTAACTGAATGTAGGACGTGAGAGAGTAAAAAGGATCAGGATGAGCAATTAGAAGAAAAGAGGTTTCTTATGCTAACCGGGGAAGACTGCTTGAGAAGTAAGTCGTGAGGTTGGGGGAGGGGAGGAAAGGGTTGCAAGGGACTGAGTTCCATTTTGGACACTTTAAGTTTGGAGTTGCCAAGAAGGCATTTAGATAGATGAGTCTATGATAATGCTATTAATTGGGAGTGTTTAGCATATAGGTGATGTGCAGATAGAATTTATTTACTTATTTATTTATTTTAAAGATTTTATTTATTTATTTGATGAAGAGACAGAGACACCAAGAGAGGGAACACAAGCAGGGGCAGTGGAAAAGGGAGAAGCAGGCTTCCCACCTAGCAGGGAGCCCGATGGAGTTGGGGCTCTATCCCACGGTCCTAGAATCATGACCTGAGCCAAAGGCAGATGCTTAACAACTGAGCCACCCAGGCACCCGCAGATAGAATTTAAATGTGTGAAATCTGAGCCCAGGACTCTCTGAAAGTCAGAGATCAGGAAGATGAAGAATCAGAAAAGGAGAATGAGAAGGTATAATCAGTGATATAGGAGTTAGACTAACAAACACAAACAGTGGTATTCCGGAAGCCAAATTAAAACAATGTTTCAAGAATTACTAACTCTATCAAAAGCTGCTAAAGTGGGTAAAATTAGAACTGAAAACAGCAATGGGCTTGACCACCTGGAAGTCACTGGCACACTTGCTAAGAATTTTGGTGGTGTGTAGTGATCAAAGCCTGTCTGGATTGGGCCCAGAGAGAATGAAAAAAGAGCAAATGGAGACAGAAAATGGGCCAATAGCTGGAAGAAATATATGGTCAAGAGAGAGATTTTTATTTTTGATTAGAAGATATGCCTGTTTGTATGCTCATGGCCATGAACTAAAAGAGAAGGAAAAAGTGATGATGCCGAGGAGTAAAGATCATTGTTGTAGCAATGTTCTTGAATAGATGAGCAGGGGTGGGATCCAATGCACAAAAGGAATATTGGGGTTAAATTGGAGAAGATAGAGAAAATAGAATTCTTTTCTGATAGCTGGGGGTGGAGGCAGAACATATGAGCACAGATGCTGGTAAACGCGGAGGCAGAAAAATGTTTTATCAACGAAGAAGCAAGGTTATCAATGGAAAGAGAAGAAGTTTGAGAAGAGGATAGAAAGTATGAAATATCATCCAGGGACAGTGACACGGTAAATAGACTTTGATAGTATAGTCAGATTACTGGTTAACCCTAAGGGTTCATTTGAAGTCAGGGACCATGATATGAAGGGAGGCCAGTTGGTAGAGTTGTGTATTCTCACCAGCCTTGTTTGCCTATTTGGGTTCAAATAAAGCTAGGCAGAGGTCCAGGTACAACCAGAGTTTGGAGTTGCCAGCTGAATATGATGGAGGAGAGAGGAACAAGAGTGTGGAGCATCTATGCAAGGGAATGATTATAAGGAAGGGACATGGCTTTTAAACCAAGGAGAGAAGAGAGGACATGAATGACGGTGTTGAGGCAAAGTGAAAAGGTGTTAGGTGAATGGATGGGAGGCTCCAGCGTGTCAAGGAATTGTGCAGTGGGGGATTAGAGAGATTCAGTTGGAAAATGCAAGTTGGTTATCAGAGTGGGATCTTCGAGACTTAGATGTGGAACGGCTAAAGATACTGATAATAACAAAGTCTAGACTGACCTGGGCTTTCTGCAATTGCTATGCCCACCCCCTTCTAGGCTCCCAGGTAGGTCTCCTATGTTTTATACATTTTTTTCTGGAGAGCTTGGCTCTCACCTCCAGTGCAGATTTTTTGAACCAGGAGTATGGATGAGGACTTTAGGTTAAACACAAATAAAGAAGGACAAGCACTTGGAAAGAGCCATAGCAGCTACATGAAATGAAGTCCTGTCCTCTGTATACCATTTTGTATCCTCCTGCCATCCCAAATTTGAAGCGTTCATAAACCCATTGAATCTCAGGATTGGCAGGTCATCTAGCCCAGCCACCGCTCTCAATCTCCTCCACCACCCTCAGTGAATAGTCATTTTTTATCCCCACACCATGTAGCAATCCCCAACCACCATTTCTCTTCACCATACTAATTTGCAAACTCCTTGAGGACGTATGTTTCACCTGTCTTTTTTGTGTGTGATACAATA